CAATTGCTCCATTACAAATGATTCTATGATACAAGAATAGTGGCTATTGCAGTCAGGATATAAGTAGGATGTTCGTAATAGCTTGACATTGTGAAGATGATTATCTAATAATTAAAGTATATCTTTACAATTATTACAGGTGCTTATTGACACACTTTATCATTTTAAAAACTTAAAGTCTGTTCATTGCCCTGCAATAATTTACAGGCTTAAAGTGGATCACGTGTTCTTTTAAGACTCATAAAGGAACAGAATCATGGTTGTCTGGCCTGTTGCTGGTGCAGAAAAAACAATGGTTTTTTTTTAAGTTCAATAAATAAAAATGATTTTGTTAATTTTATCGATTTATTTTGCAGCCACCCCTATGAGAAAGTTTAATTCAGGAGTAAGATCGCTCATTCAATGGTAAAATTATTACCGACTATCAGGTATTGTATGTTGGAATCTTATACAGGGCTAAGTCACTTTTCCACATGCTTCAAGATTTTAATACTGAAAGTTAACGAAACTCACTGTCAGTTTTACATTAGTAACCCAAGCGAGACCGGAATGTTAAGTTATGATTAGGGCAAGCAGTAAAGCATCATGCTGATTGGCTATATATATTAGAAGTTATTTCGATGATTTGTAAATGTGGTTACCTCACACGCTAGTAGACCTGCTAACTAAAAAAATCACAGTAGTCAAAATGGAGTTATTTCCCTTATATTAGTTTCCACTTAATCCACTAAAGGCAATATCACTCTAGCTATATCAAATTCTGATTATTTGGACCTTAACACATAGACATAGCAAAATTTTGAAAACAGTTTTCTGCTTGACTTTTGTTTATAACAGCATACATGGCAGGAATCCTGATTAAAATTTTCTTTGCCAGACATTTGTAGGCAGATTCATGCACGTGTGCGACATTTATATGGAAAATATTTTGACAGTCATGACAGCCATGAAAATATGTAATATAGGGAATAAAAGGTCACGAAAATTTCAATTTAAGCAGTGGATTGTTACACCCAAGACAGTCGAAGACATGACACTTTTTCATGTTAATTAAACAGCAATCTTAGTCAGACATTTTGCAATTTTTTAAAGAAATTGACTGGCTAAATCAATAATAACATTTATATTATCAACAGTCAGACAGGTGTCAAGACATGACTGGCTCAAAATACAAACTCAACAGCCCTGATGCATATCAAAATCTGTAAAGTGAGAAAGTGTTGTTTTAAGTGAAAAAGTACATTAATAAGGTGATACAGTGCATAGGAGACATTTTCACCAATAAACACATTTCACAGCAAATTCACCTTCACAATGTCAAGCTATTCTTGTATTAGGGAATGCAGCGATTTGATTGGATTGTACAAACTTCCACGATACAAGAAAGGTGGCTATTGCAGTCAAGGTATAAGTGTAATGTTAATAATAGCTTGACATTGTGAAGATGCAGCAAACTGTGATAGTCTAAATTATTTCGAAAACCAGCTGATTAGAGCTCTATTTCCGTTATCTGCATCACCTTTCAAAAATCAACTCTGAAGTCTGGTTTGTCTGTAAACAAGTCTTGATTGCCAGTACATTATGAACATTCAACCAATCAGATATTACAGCAAATATTGATGATGATCAGAGCCCTGTTTCTCATAAAATCTTAGGCCCAAATGTAATCGTATACAAACCAAACCTCAAATTTCCTTCTTGAAAGTGATACAAATTGCTGAAATGTTGGTAGCATATCAGCTGAGAAAGCAAATACATAGACTACTACATTATTTTATGTAAGTTTTTGAAAACACAAAGTGAATAACAGGGAATACACTTGGGTCAGTTGCAACTGTACTGTTAAATCTTTTAGTGGCAAACACTTTGAAACAATTATTTAGGGTACAAAATTTCATCCCCAAAATATCAAAAAGAAAAATCAAAATAGAAATATTTAAAATATTTAGGGTTTAATTTAAAAATCTGGTAATTTAAAATTAGATGGTATTCTTTCAATATTATTATATTTTTATGATAAAATAATGCAAATTCACATAAAATTGTATTCTTGAGCCTCTGGAGAGAGTCATGGCACCTTGTTGCTGTGGTTCCCATTTTTTGAGCCGCCACTAATTAGATTCTTTCACAGTTTGTCAGGTTTATATATAAGTATAAACTGATGTATCTCTGCTGTTACCTTATTAAAATACATGTAATACATGTGTTGAAAAACAAACAATTTTTGTATGCAGAAACTAAATTGATACAAAAAAAAAAGAACATAAAAGTAATTTCCATACATACCACTAAAAATTCCTTTTTATCCACAATATGGTTGCCGTCTGTATCAAACATATTAAACGCAATACGGAAACCAGAATGAGGCTCTGAAAAATATAAATAAATACCACATAAGTTTATAATCAAAAATATTAAATTGGGGGGTCGCGACCTGGTAATTCTGACCAGAAAACAACACAGACACTTCCAGAGTTATTTCCCTTTTCGATACACGTATATTCCCAGCTTTGAAGTTGTATCGAGAAAAGAAATGAAAACAAAAGGAATTGAACACACCCAGGCATTAAAGACAGACATCAACAATTGTCCTCTAATTAAACTGTGTGTTTTTTATTTTTCAACCTCATTCGACAATACTTAACTTTGTGTGGCCACAATTATACGCAATAGTTTGATATTTTGAAAGGCTATAAATAGTAACAAATGTTGTGGAACCTCCTTTAAGAGCACTCTGGGGAATTCCGTGTCTAATTTTAGAACACATATAAATCAAAAACAATTATTTCAGAGATCTATTCCTCCAGTGATTATACAATGTATATGTTCAAACCTAAATTACAGACAAATTACTAGTAAATACTAGTCTCATTTATCAAATATAGCTTGCCAGACAAGGTAATGAATTGATAGTTTGCCAGGCAAGGTAATATACTGATAGTTTGCCAGACAAGGTAATAAACTGATAGTTTGCCAGGCAAGGTAATATACTGGTAGTTTGCCAGACAAGGTAATAAACTGATAGTTTGCCAGACAAGGTAATGAATTGTTAGTTTGCCAGACAAGGTAACAAATTGAGTTTGTCAGACAAAGTAATAAACAGATAGTTTGCCAGACAATGCAATATTCTGATAGTTTGCCAGGCAAGGTAATGAATTGATAGTTTGCCAGGCAAGGTAATAAGCTGATAGTTTGTCAGGCAAGGTAATAAACTGATAGTTTGTCAGGCAAGGTAATAAACTGATAGTTTGTCAGGCAAGGTAATTTACTGATAGTTTTCCAGACAAGGTAATAAACTGATAGTTTGTCAGGCAAGGTAATTTACTGATAGTTTTCCAGACAAGGTAATTTACTGATAGTTGTACAGACAAGGTACTAAACTGATAGTTTGCCAGACAATGTAATAAACTGATTGTTTGCCAGACAAGGTAATGAACTGATAGTTTGTCAGACAAGGTATTGTAAACAGAATCGTGATTTAATTATACAGTTGTAAAAGAATTATTGAAACTTTTAAGAGATATCAGATTATTGTCTATTACCCCATATAGCAATATAGATCATATTGTATTTCTTGATCACATGTATTGCATTATGTCTCTTATCGTATTGTGTCATGATTTGCAACACTTGGTAGAGGACCCAATTATGTCAAGTCAATTTTTGGGAAAAATCCCAAATAGGATTTTTAACACACAAGATTAAGAGTTGTCTTGGCCACCTAAATTGTGTCTTTGTTGTAATTTTTTCTGTAAACAACAAAACCTTCTGATGATAATTTGAACCACCATAAACAGAGTCTGACTCTAAACATTCAAATATGGAGGCAATCAACCCATTTCTTCCCAGACAATAGTATCATCTTGTCTGGGCCGGTTCCACTTGTCCGAGGGTTCATTCAGTTTAGTTCATACACCAGCTCATTATCTTAAGGTTCGTTAGTTGGAACCAGAGCAGGTATTACCCACTTTTACCTGACCCCGTTATGGGAGGTCTTGGCAACGAATTACCCCCAGTTCAAATATATACCAACATCCACAAACTCTGTCAGATTAGAGAAGTAAATGGTGTATTTGGAGGGTTGACCATTGCACCAATATTTGGTAAATTCAGAACCAAACATCAGGAACCTCAAAGTCCCTCTGATCCAGAATGGGAGGTTATAAACTTATCCTTGAAAGCTCATAATTATTAACTCAAGAAATGATTTGATCTATGTGGACTCTCACAAAGGGATCTCTAGTTGGTGGCTTTAGAGTGAATATAACCATCTCATTGTGGAATAATGTACAGTGAAATAAACAAAGCCAGAGTTGCCCATTAAGAATGGAAGTTTTGATGGTCCCCCCTTCCATTTATCTTCTCAATCTGAATAGACTACATGTTTAATATTAAATTAAGTTCCATGTGCGCCTATTCATAAAATATTCCTAATTAACCCAATGAAGAAACAAAACTAGCACGAGATGCCTGTGGGCTCTTTGAAGCACAGTATGTTAATGATGTTGGCCTAAAATTGGAATGTGTATTGAGATATAAATAGGACCAGCCCACAGGCATACTGACCAATTCAACATAGAGTGGGATCTATGGCACTACTGACCTACCGGTAATTAGCAAAATGACGTAAAAAATCACTTCCTCAAAACTTCGATTTTGGGTCTTTTGTATAATTTTTGATAAAAACCAATCGTTTTTGATGTAATGTAGCTATTTATGTCTCAGATTGTCTGTCTGTGGAAGTCTGGTAACAATGGATAACTCAGCTTTCAGATTTTATTCCAGTCGATCCAGCTGTAAATGGATACAGACAATCATGGAAAAATCATTCCCAAAATCAAAAGAAAAAATTGAAATTTTTATTGGCAAAACCTTTTTGCATGATCTTTTCATATCTATCCAGGAGACAATTTACATCTGGGCTGATTGGAAAAACTAAGTACACAATAGGGTGTCCAAACTTTCTGAAAGCCGTATGAACCAAACACAGCCACTTGTGCCTTATAATCAAACAAATGATAAAACTTTAATATTGTAGAATATTCAAAACCCCTGGACAGATTCATTAATGATTCAGCTTTGTTACACAAAATTTTATGCCAAATTGAGCTTTTGTCATTGTGAAATCCTCAAAAACTAGCAACCCAAGAGTGGGTTGGTGTAATTCTCATAAAAAGTGACTTTTTATGTATGGCCTCATTAGTTTAGTCATGATAATCAACTTGCTCTTGATGTGAGTCTTGACATCCTGAATGTTTATATTGTTCTCATCAAATAACTTGATCTAAGGTCTAAGGTTGTAGTACTACCTTAATTTTCAAAATCAATATTTAGTGCAATGGAAACAAACCAAACATTTCAAGAAATATCAGACATGACTGGTAAGAATAAACAACATCACATCCCTGAAACCACACCATCTGATCATAATAGGTGCCGAAATCCCATCCATTTATCACTACCTTGGAACAGATTTGGCTATGCTATATTACGCTACAGCCTTTTCTTATGGTAAATATGTATTGGTTGGAAGTAACCTTTGAAAACAGACATAACATTATGATATGACATGATATTTTGTGATGTATAAAAAATTGAATGGATAATCTACACTGTAGCCATGCCCCATGTCTGTTTTGATGGAAATCATGAACTTTGTCACCATAAAGTCCAATTTCATCAGATCTAAATTGATACAATGACAGATTTGTATATGGACAATAAGACAAGATCATGGCTCATGATAGGTGATAACTAGAAACTTCCTCACAACAATAATACAAGAATCTTTGACATATTGGTGTTGCTGATTCCTTATTCAGGTTCTTTTGTCTTGAACCAGCTCATCAAGAAGTTCTTTTTACGCAATTATTCAGAAGAATTTATTATTTTTTTTTTTTAACTTTTTTTTTTCTTGAATCAGCAAAAAAGGTTTTAAAAGTACACAGGCTACACAAATAGCCAGAATAAAGCAGGATTTTCATTTGGTTCCATTCTTTCATAGTAAAAATAACTCATATGGTCAAGCATGTTTATAATTACAGGAATTAAAGACGTCTGATGGAGAAATGGAATGATACAAAAAGAAGCCATATATGGCCTAAATACACAAGCTAGAAAACATCTTTACAATCCCTTTTAAGACATCCCCACCTGTCCTTGTGTTTACCTTTCTCATGTTATTCATATTCATGATGCAAGAGGGAATTCCCTTTCTATAAATAGAACTGAGGTCAGATTTACCATATTTGGTTTTTCATTCATGATTTTGCAAAGAAAGTTCAAAGTGGGTGCAAATAGAAAATGACAAGCTGGACTGAGGTAGAAATATTTGAAGGTAAGTAAATTATATTTCAAATATGGGGGTAAGGTGTTTTTTTTTTTCTTAGAATGAATCTTTTCCCAATTAAAACATCCAATGAAAATATACATTGAGTCTTCAACCATGATAAACTGTGGAGAATATGATAAATCCTAAAGGTGTGGGCACATGAGTCAGCTTGGTCGCGTGTGACCGTGCTACCACGACAAGATTATCGCGTTGATAATATCAAATAATTGTCTCTGAGAGTTTGCAAGACAGATCATCATCAAATCAGATTCATTTTCCTTTCAAGTGCACACTGAGCACATGATTATCGACAAGGTGGAAATTGACCAACTGGAGATTTTCTTGTCTACTCGTGTGCCCGTGACAAGACTCTCGTCGGTGTGCCAGAACCTTTAACCAATCAAAATAAAACACATCTTCCAAAATCTCATATAATATAGAGTGCTAAAGCTTAGTCTAGATTTCAAGTATAAAGCCAACCCAAAAATTGTCAGGCTCTCTTATGTTTTATGATGTGAACTTTCAAAAAAAGTTGAAGTACATTTTCTGGTGGCCATATGAATATTACCCCATACTTAATGAATTTAAAGGGTTATCGAAGACAGTGGCTATACTTGTTTTAAATTAGTATAAAGATACATACAAACTGGCTTGAATTAAGATAAAAGACAAGTCATTGGCACACACCAGTGTTATACAAACACTACCACTAAGACTCTGACAATCAAATCAGTGTTCATGAGGAAGGGAAATTAATACCATCAGTTTAATAACGTGTTAAATGTCAGTTATACCATATAGACACGGCTGGATTGGGTTTACACAAAATATCAAAAACATCAGGCTTTATTGACGGCTTCCTGTTCAAAATGAGGCTCGATTCATTCCGTGACTACGTACAAAATTTACTACGTCTGCCTTATTTACGCCCTATTCAGAAACTGTGTAAAACACATAATTTATCGTTTAATTATGATGAAATCAGTCTTACTCTGGGTGAGTGCCTCAATGCCCTGAAGTTCTGATCAACTTACTTGA